TTTGTTATTGGGACAAGGTATTACAAGAATAATATTGTAAAAGGGGACATTCACTTTTTAAATTTTTGAGAGGTAAGTTCGAGAAAAATGTACAGGGGTGATGTGCAACTTGCCCAATTATTAAAGTATTTAAAAATAAATACTCTTGTAGGTTTTAATTTCCCCCAAGATTATGAATTCCGATCTTGTTGGTGTACTTGTTTTATCAAAGTTAAAAGAGTGGAATGGATATTAATAAAATTGTAATTATATTCATTAATTTATAAAATCAAGATAAATAAGTAATTAAAATAACATTAGAGTAAAAAATAATGCAATATTTGAGGCCTCAATCAAATCATTTAAATCAAAATTAGCCGGTAATTAAGTTCTATTGTAATTTGGACACTACCCCCAAAACTCACACTCCAATGACGGATTTGGTCTCAGAAAATAAAAACAAAGGGTTTGTTTTTATTATTATTATTATTATTATTATTATTATTATTATTATTTATTTATTTATTTATTATTTAATTTACTTATTTTGGGTTTGGATTATTGAATCACAATTCTTGCCGGGTATTGTGGGTCAGGTCTTCTAGACATAAAGAACATGGCTAAGGTCCCTCGTGGGGTTGAGCATAGCTGTTCATGTCTTAAAATAGATAACAAATCAAATTTAATTACCAACTTATTTAGTCAAATTACGAAAATACCCCTAGAGTAAAGCGTAATTACATAAATCCCCTAGGAAAATTACGAAAATACCCCTAGAGTAAAGCGTGATTACGAAAATCGCCTTCTCGTCAGTGTTTGACTGTTTAAAAGTTTAAATTCAAAGAAAATATGTCCTGCCCATTTTACTACCCTTCTGTTGTTTGAAAAATAATGAACGCTAAATTACGAGAAACCACTTAACATAAGGTCTAATTACACCAATTTGTTGCCTAAGGTTTGGATATAAAAAAATGACCCCTTCTATTGCACAAATCAATGAATCTCTTATTTAGTTATAATTTTGAAATTGGGTAAATTACGAAAAAAAAATCCTTCAAGTATGATCGAATATAACTTATACAGCCATGTGGTACCGATAATTACTAATACCCCACTTAACTATTGTTTCATCTAATAGTTACACTCTTACGAAAGAATGACTAACGGAATATATATATATATATATATATATATATATATATATATATATATATATATTAATTAATTAATTGTTGGGTCAAGAAAATACTTTTTTAGTGTCGGATATACCCTACTCCATTATATGTGCAAATGAAATTGTGCCCTTATGAAGAGATTTTGGGGCAGATAGTGTTGTCCCAAACAATCCCACAAGGCCAGTTTCTTTGTCTACCAAATCCAACACTTTTGCTTTATGTTTACGTGTATGTTTATATTAAAAAAAAAATTAATTTATTAATTAATTAATCCATAATTAACTATAAATAACCGTGATTAACTACACTAATCCACTTCTTGAACCCATATTCAATTGGGCCGCACCTAAGACATAGCCCAATAAGAAATATGGACAGCAGAATTGAGGTTGGCCCATATTTACCATTTTGCCGATATATAAAAAGTTGGGCAAATTGCACTTCACCCCCTTAAAAAAATGTTTGTTTTGCACTTTAACCCCAACAAATACAATAATGAGACTGTCCCTTTCAAAATATGTAATTCAGTGCACTTTGCCCCAAATGCGTATTTCCGGCCTAATTCTCATAGAATTAAGGGTGTATATATCATTTTACATCTTCCGCTTGAGAATTCTTCTTTCAGAGTTACTTGGGGTTCTCCTTCCCAAATTGATGAAATTCGCTGTCAAATTAGACGAAATTTACTTCTGAATTTGACAAAATTTGTTCTTTGTTCTTCGTAATCATTATAATGTAGGAATTAGGATGAAAAAGGTTAAATGCATTTAAAGCCTTAAAAGATGAAATTGCCCTTCCAATTTACTCAAACCTGACAAGAATTAATCCAGAAATACACATTTGAGGCAAAGTGCACCAAGTTGTATATTTTGAAGGGGGGCGGACAATCTCGTTTTTGTATTTTAAGTGGGAAAAGTGCAAAAAAGGCATTTTTTAGGGTGTGAAGTGCAATTTTCCCTAAAAAGTTTAAATATTTACCTCATAAATTATTAATTATATAACTAAAAATAAATAAATAATCATATTTTAAATATTATTATTATTATATTCTTTTAAATGGAATGAATTTTGAAATCAATAACGGGAGTACTGTATTTTCACAGCCACACAGATGAACTCAAAGCTCATTTTGACTGCACTCGCGCTTCCACTGGTGGCGGTGGCGGTGGCGGTGGCTTTCGCCACCACCGGCCTCTTCACCCCGCCGCCCGTACGAGGCTCGCACGATGTTCTCCACCTCGCCGAGAGGATCCACCTCCCTGGAGCCGTCGGGCCGGAGAGCCTGGTCTTCGATCCAAGCGGCGGAGGCCCTTACACCGGCGTCGCCGACGGCCGCATTCTGAAATGGAACGGTAAAAATTGGTTGGAATTCTCCGTCACCTCATCCCAAAGGTAATTGAACCCCTATCTAAACAAATTGTTTACAACTATTATTAGGGTTCCGGTGATTATATTCTGTAATCGATTTGGTAAATTTGAATTTGAATTTTGTTTTATTTTAGGGAAGAATGTTCTGAGGCATTCAATCCAACAATGGAACACGTATGCGGAAGACCATTGGGATTAAGATTTCACCGGAAAAGTGGAGATCTTTACATTGCCGATGCATATCTAGGGCTCCAAGTAGTTGGTCCACGAGGAGGAATGGCTTCTCCGCTAGTAACACATGTACACGGCAACAAATTTCTCTTCACAAACGACATTGATATCGATGAGGAAGACAATGCAATTTACTTCACAGATTCCAGTACAGTTTTCCACAGAAGGTGTTTATATAAATTGTATTCTTATATGTGTGTGTGTGTGTGTGCGTGTGTATCCTCTAATTAGCATTGACAATTACTTTTATGTTCGATTTAAGGGAATTCATGCCGTCAATTCTAACCATGGACAAGACTGGCAAGCTAATGAAGTATGATATATCGAGCAAACAAGTGACGATTTTGCTGCAAGGACTTGCTTTTGCCAACGGTGTGGCACTAAGTAAAGATCGCTCTTTCGTGTTAGTGGCAGAAACAACTAACCGGAGAATCCTCAGGTATTGGCTTCAAGGCCCTAATATCGGAAAACACGACACCTTCGTTGAGCTACCTGGTTTGCCCGACAACGTTAGAAGAAACCAAGAAGGGGAGTTTTGGGTTGCTCTGCACTCGAAAACGGGGCTTCTTACAAAATGGGCAATTTCTTATTCATGGTTCGGAAGTACTATGTTGAAGCTGTCTCTCAACTTCAAGCAACTGCATTACTTTTTAGTCGGGGGAAAGCCTCACGCAACTGCAATAAAGCTGAGCAGTGAGGGGAAAATATTGCAGGTTCTGGAAGATTTAGAAGGGACGACTTTGAGGTTTATCAGCGAAGTGGAGGAAAGAAACGGTAAGCTCTGGATTTCTTCTGTGCTTATGCCTTACATAGGAATTTACACCTTGCAATAATGAATCACCATTTTTTCATTCTAGATGATATTAGATTTGCTAGGCTTTTATCATCACTTAGCATTATCATCGCCCTCGTTCGAGTACCCCTTGTTCATATGTATTGTGTAATATTTGTAATCAATTGTTCGGTAATAATGATTATATTTCATCGTTTATAAAATGCTCGATAGTTTCGAAGTAAGAGGACACCCGTGGTATTTTTAAAAATGTAAAGAAAATTACTTGATAAAGAACAATTAGAAAACCTACAAAACTTCAAATTTAGTACTCATAAGAGGATGAACAACTGAATAACCTTTCTCCTCCAACAGTCCCGAATCCCAACCTGGAACCGATGACTGGATCTTGTCTGGTTTCTCGTCTCTCAAGTTATAAGTCATTAGCCCTTTACCATCTCTACCAGGACTAAATATCACAAGTAAGTCACCCTTTTCGCCCCCACATATCACAGAAAGAATATGGTACTTGTTCAAAATCCTTCCATTGTAGAAGAAACAAGAAGACATGTCGACTTTATACTTCGCCTTCCATTCGGAGTAGCTCTTCTTCATCCGAAAGACCGTAAACCTCACCGGAGACTGCTCTTGCGAGTCGATCAGAAGAAGCCGCCCGCCGGATTCACCGAAATACCGTATTGACCTCCGTTGACCGCCGCCCTGAACTGGCGGCATAGGCATAATCTTGAAATGCTCGTTCTCGACGTCAAAGTAGACCGAAGTGTTCCCAGTGTGAGAAGCCCAGTGGACCCCACCGTTAAAGAAAACGCCATTGGTAAAATCCACGTGTGCCCAATTTGGTAGGAATTCAGCTTTTGTTGCCCTCCACCGCCACTTCTCCGACGAGTATATATCGACCTGATTGTACGAACTGCAGGAATTACGCACTGTAGAGAGACTAACAACCTTGTAGTGAGGCGACTTCGTAGGATCGAAGGCTAAGTTCATTGCTATGACCTGTCTAGTTGTCTTCCTTCTGACAGCTGGCCAAGGAATAGTCCTGAATTTGTTTGTACCAGGATTATACACATAATGTTCGACATTGCTTGCATTTGGAAACAACCCGTTGTTTTTTTCTGCTCCGTTTTTGTTTAGTTTCTTGATTGATGAGTCAGGAGAGCAGAGGAATAGGCTGTTGCATGATTGGATAATCCTGATGCCATTTACATGCTGGTCGTTGGATTCAAGAAAGTCCAAAGCGGGCCGAAATAATGTCTGAGGTGGCGGCCGATTTGAGGTCTGGTGGTTGTGGAGCGGGACGATCGAGTATTTGATCGCCGGAAAAATCGAGCGCTGGCGGCTTTGGGTGGCGGACCACCGTACGAGGAGGTGGGAAAGTGGTGGAAGCTTGTACTTGAAGGTACGGCTCGTGATCACGCTGTACCAAAACTTGCATATGATTGCACACCGTTGACGGTGTTTTGGTTCGAGTTTGGTGAAGATTAAGTTGATCAAATCTTGATTGCTGCCGATGGATTCTGCAGAGTACGAGGTTGGATCTGATTCTTGGACATCTTGGCAGTGGATTCTTGTTTTGGTGGCGGCGGCGGTAGTGGTGATGGTTTTCTTGAACTTGGTTCTGCTCTTGGTTGATAGCTTAAGGGAAGGTTCGCCGGAGGAGGCGATTATCATGGTTGGGAATTTTATTAAGTATTAGGGTTACAAGAGTTTTGTAAGATTTGAATTTTGATGATGATTACAGAATTAGCCGGCAGGAATAATTGTTTCTAACTTATATATATATGGTAAATTAGGAAAAAACCCTCATATTTGGGTAATTATAGCTACCCCTTCAACAATGTATTACCTTACGAAAATATCCCTTCATATGTGCATTTAGGAATGTTGAATCAGTAAAATCAAACTGAAATTTCATATGTGCATTTAGGAATGTTGAATCAGTAAAATCAAGGTACGCCAACATTTCATACCGTTTACCGAATTGAACTTACGATTTGGTTTGGTAATTAACTGAATTATATAAATTTTATGTAAAAAATATTTAAAGAGAAGGGGTTGGTTGCAATTATCCAAACAAGAGGAGTTTTTTTGTAATTTTGCCATACATCAGGGGTGGCCGTATCCCTGAGGTAATATTAAATTACGAAAACCCCATCATATTTGGGTAATTATAACAACTGTGAATCTTCTTGCACGTTCATTCTTATACTATGAAGAATCTTCTACTCAACAGAATCTTCTACAACATGTGAAATGTTCTCTAGTTTGTATTTTGTACTCATTTTGTGCAAAAATACAGTTTCAAATGTACAACAATCTGATATTTACGAGATTTAGTGATCGCAATTTGGATTCATGTATCGTTGCACCTCATGAAAATTGCATTACATGACTTTATAACCAACCATGAACAAAGAAAACAAATACATACTTCAAAAAAAAATGTATATACCAAAAGTTTTCTTCTCAATAGGAAAATTAAACTTGAAATTTAGTCCTAAAAAGAGGATGAACAACAGAATATCCTTTCTCCTCCAACAGCTTCAAATCCCAACCGCCGACCGGCGAATGTATATTCTTGATACTCTCCGTCCTCAGATTACACGTCAGCAACCCCTTACCGGACCTCGCTCTACCGGGGCAGTATATCACCACCGCCAAATCGCCTTCCAAAGATTCTCCGTCGAGAATCACGGACAGAATCCGGTACTTCTCCACCCTCCAACCGAACAACCACCCTAGCCTCGCCTCGTATTTCACCGTCCACCCCGAGTAGTCCTTTTTCATCTCGAACACGGAAAATCTCGCCGGGGATGCCTCGCTGGAGTCGATCATGATAAGCCTCCCGCCGCACTCCCCGAAGTATCGTATCGTCCTCCTCAACGCGCCGGAGTCTTGAACCGGCGGCATCGGCATTGTCTCGAACCGCTCGTTTTCCACGTCGAAGTAGACCGACGTTGCGCCTTTCGGGGATGGCCAGTGGATTTTGCCGTTGAGGTAGACGCCTTTGCTGAAGTCGACGGAGATGCATTTCGGCGATGGGAGGTCCGCCTTCGACGGCCGCCAGCTGTGGGTCTCCGACGAGTATATGTGGAGGCGCGTGTAGGATAAGTAGGTCCGGTGGACTGTGGAGAGGGAGACGATCTTGTAATGGGGGGGCAACTTTGTCGGATCGAAGGCTAAGTTCATGGATTTGATCTCGATTTTTGTGTTTTTGGCGGTGGGGAGAGGGATGTGGCGGCGGCGGCCGGTGGTTGGGTTGTACACGTAGTGATCCACGTTGGCTGTGTTTTTACTGCGTGTGTGTGCGTCGGCGGGGCAGAGGAGGAGGAGGCCGTTGCACGATTGTTTGATGCGGTTCGACTGGAGGAATTCCAGACTAGGCGGCGGCGGCGGCGGCGGCGCCGCCGCCGTGTTCTTTACGAGTGGGACTGTGAGGTACTTTACAATATTATCGGGGCGGCGGAGGCGGGTGTAGCGGCGGATGAGGAGGGCGGAGGGAGGCGGGAGTTTGAAGTTGTAGACGTAGCGGCGGCCGGAGATGTACTCGTACCATGTTTTGCAGATGATTTTGCAGCGGTGGCGGTGCTTATCTCCGATCTTGGAGAGGATGATGTTGAGAAGATCTTGATTGGCTCCGATGATTTCTGCTGATTCCGATGTTACATGATTATCGGCTCCGATGATGATTTCTTCTGATTCTGCATGAACGGCGTCGTTTGGTTGCGAAGGGATTATTGTATTTCTTTTTCTTTTTATGGTTCTGGTTTTTTTCTTGAATTTTGTAGCATTCTTTTTCGATGGCTTCAGAAAAAAATGGATGAAGGTGGAGTTCATGGCTAATTTTTAGGTTTTGATCAATTTAGGGTTTTTGACCGGAATTCTATATATATAATATAATATTGGGGTTTATGTAATTAATTAATTAATTAATTATTATATAAAAGAGTCTTGGCATGCAAGGGTTGCAGTTCTTTAGCGATTTATACGTGCCTACGTGTCTTTTTATTTAATTAACTATTTATTTATTTACCTACAAAAACAATATATGATCATTGCGAATTTCCTTGTAAATAAATCATAATTAGTGTTTACAAAAATAGCAGTCTTTCAAATACACACATTCCCATTAATTTAGTTAAAAATACCTCCATAGTATAATTTTTGTCAATTCCATCTATTATGCTCTAACTTCTTTTATATTACACATTGACCACCCGGATTTAAACAAATATATCACATTAACCCACATTTTAATAATTTTTTGAAAAAAAATATTTTTTTATAAAAATAATTTTTTATAAAAATAATTTTTTTCCGAATTTTTTTATAAAAATAATTTTCTTACAAAAAAATATTTTAATTAATATTACTGTCTTGGCTGCTAAATTACTGTTTCAGACAGTAATATTATTGTTTGGGAGTTGGGACAGTAATATTATGAATATTATTTTCCCGAACAGTAATATTATTACATGAGACAGTAATATTACAATTGAACACAACAAAAAGGCAGGTCAAGACGATAAAATTAATTAATACAATAATATTACTGTCTCAAACAGCTAAATTACTGTTGAAGACAATTGTTTAGCAGCCAAAACAGTAATATTAATTAAAATAATTTTTTTAAGAAAAAAAAATTCAAAAAAAAAAGTCAATTAATATTTAAATTACTGTCTCTGACAGTTAAATAACTGCTGGAGACAGTAATTTAGCAGTCAAGACAGTAATATTAATTAAAATATTTTATTTAAGAAAAAAAAAGTCAATAACGGTTAAATTACTGTCTCCGACAATTAAATGACTGCTGGAGACAGTAATTTAGCAACAAATACAGTAATATTAATTAAAATATCAAAAAATAAAAAGTCAATTAACAGTTAAATTATTGTCTCCGACAGTTAAGTAACTGCTGGAGACAGTAATTTAGCAGCCAAGACAGTAATATTAATGAAAATATTTTTGAAGAAAAAAAAAAATCAATTAACAGTTAAATTACTGTCTCCGACAGTTAAATAACTGCTAGATACAATAATTTAGCAGCCAAGACAGTAATATTAATTAAAATATTTTTTTTAAGAAATTTTTTTTATATATATATACAAAAAAAAAAAAAGTCAACGCCGAAGACCCGGCGGTCAACGGTGGCTGACCGGCGGTCTCCTGTGGTGGCGGGTCAAAAATTGGGGTCAAAAGTGAAATTATGATTAAAATTGATTAATTGATGAAATTGGGTTATATTGGGGTGTAAATCAAGAAATTGGAGTTGAATTGGCGGTAATTTTAGTATATATTTAAGGAATTTTCTTATTTGCAAATAAGTTTGAATGAGCTGGATTTATTTGAAAAATAAAAAAGTTAGATGTTCATCTTTTAATTAAGTTCACTTGTCATGGGCCTATTTGCCATTTGCCCTATTTATTTACTTATTATTTTTGTTTTACTTTTTGCATTATTACCTTTTCAAATCAGAATAGTTACTGATTTATATCACATTTTGTCAGAAGTTCATTTTGCAACTTAGTCACAAATCTTAGACAAAAAATAGTTAATTTAGACTGAAAAATATCTTATCGTCCTCAACACCACATTCACTAATTGTTGGAAAATGTTATTTTAATCTAAGATGTCAATTTTCAATTTATTCTCAGTCAACTAAGCTACCCCGATGGATTTATTTTTAGTAAATTCAAGATATTCGGACGAACTATTAAACTATACAAATTTGTTTAAGAAAGTTTTAACCAATTTTCCCTTATATATTAATCGAACGATAATATATATTCAAGGTCGATTAGTCATGTAACTGAAAATTAAATATATGTTCAAGTTAAGAAACTTCACAATTACCTAATATTGTTATGTTGAATTTGCGGTATATTATTTGGCTTACATTGTAGAAGGATTAATCCAAATTAAAATTAAAAATTAAAAAATAAATTTTAAACTTAAATAACAAGAAATAGCCCAGCCCGTTTGGAGAGTGTAAGAAGCCCATTACCTAATTTGATTTCCAATTTTCATATACTAACTTGGAATTAATATTTGTTAAAATTAGCATATGAAAATTGAATAATTAATTTTTTTTTACTTTATTAAAAGAACTGTGAAATCACATGTATGATTCTTTTATTTATTTTATTTGTTTCCCTTAATTAATTATTATTGAGATGCAGTATAATAATTGAGGCTTGTATTTTTGGCAGTTCATTATTACAATTCTTGGGAACAAATATCTCCATCATATTTCTAATATTATTAACTCAACATTAATTCTCTTCCTATTTCTGCCATTATACTTTACTACTTCCCTTCTTTTAAATTAGGGTAAAATTACAGCAACCCCTAATCGATGATATACTGTCAAATTACGAAAAAGCCCTTCATAGGATAATTGGAATCTTCAATTGTGAATCTTCTTACACGTCTATGCTTATGGTCTCAAATTAAACATAATCTTTTAGATTTCGTGCAATGTTCTCTAGTTTGTGTACTCGTTTTGTGAAAATATACAGTTTCCGATATTGCACCACAATTTGATACTTACTAGTTACTAGCCAAGAGATACGAATATGATAAAACGAGTACAAAGTGGAGAATATTCCACATAACCTAAAGATTCCAGTAAATTTGACGCTCTTAAACATTTTTTTACTTAAACTTCATTGACACACACACACATACATACATTATTATTATTTATTAATTTTGAAATTGTGATATGTAGCACAATATATTCTACCAATAGATGTTAGGCAATGGGTACCAACTAGCAACTAGGTAGGGACACTTTGTCAAAAATAAACCGTACAAAAATAATATTAGTGCCTCAAACGCAATATACATTATACATACACACACACACACACACACACACACATAGCTTACTTAGCTTTGGGAATTTCTTCAAGTGTAAACCATAAACCTATCTATATATTATTCCCATTTCACCCCTAAAATTTTATTAGCAACACAAAAAATAATACCAAATCCTCCATTAATATTCTTTTTTCAAGAATATCATGTCGACGGCCGGAGCAATTAGCTCCACCCTCCTTTTCATTGCAATACTTGCAGTTGTCTTTTCTGCCGCCATTTTTGTCTCCTTCGACGGTACTAAGGTTTCCATCATCGGACAGCAGCAACAACACGTCAGCAAGAATACTGCAGAGACGACGTCGACGGCGTCAGCATCGCCGGAGGGAAACTCCACGGCGGTGGTTATACCGATGCCCGGCGGCGCCGTCGGCCCAGAGAGCTTCGCGTTTGACGGTAGCGGCGGTGGGCCCTACACCGGTGTCTCCGACGGCAGGATTATACGGTGGCGGGATAACGAAAGCCGGTGGGTTGACTTCGCCGTGACGTCACCGGACAGGTCAGAAAAAAAACATTTTTTATTATTTTTATTAATTATATTTTTTAATTCTCTTTTTTTTTTTTCTTTTTTTGCACGACTAATTTGCGTCGTAATATATTATATTATTTATTTGCGTGGAAATGTGTATTTTAAGATATATATATATATATATTTTTTTTCATGGTTCTAACAACAAAAGGCATAATTGACAAATAGTGGTCCATAATTTAAACACATCACTCCCCACGACCCCTATAGTTTCTTTTTATATTCTTTTTAGTACATGGACCATTTTTTTTTATCTATTATTATTTTTTAATTAATCAATATTTAATTTTAATTTCTATACTTTTAATCACAATATATAGTGGGATTAAAAATCAATACTTTGGGGTCTTAAATATTAAATTCATAACAATGTGTGTGCAACTTTGCAAAGTATATATAGATAATATTTGTTATATAATATAAATAAATAAAAATGGGTTGTTATATCATATGATATCCACAACCACAAGTATTGTATTGGCTTCCTAACACGCAATTTTGAAGTATTAAGATGGTTTTGCAAAAACTTTTAAAAAGTGATTTTGGAATTTTTTGGGATCGTAAATACTTTTGGTGTATTTGTAATGTTAATTTTTGCTTCTATTTCTATTAAAATAAGTTGTCTTAAGATAAAATGTAAGAAGCACTGTCGGCCAACTTCTCTTAAAATAAGTGGCTGAAACATGATTTTTCATAGTATTTACAAACACTTCCAATCGTTAGAAATAAGCACTTATCATTAACTTAAATTATAATTAGCCACTTTTGCTTTTCTAAAAGCTTTGACAAAACCACCTAAGTAATAGTCATGTGCTTTTCGTGGCATGTGTTATTTATCTTTTATTGTATGTATGTTTGTTATTCTTCAATCTTGAAAAAGTAGTGGCCTAATTGAACATGATTTGCATATACTAATTAAACTTGTCTTCTAATTAAAAGATATTAATTTCTATTAATACAAGATAACAAAAAGTTGGGAATCAATTTAATTTTGAAAAATGATGCGTACCAATCAAATATTGGAGTCTCTATTATTATTATTATTATTATTTTATTTTATTATTTTATAAAGTTGTTTCTTTAACGTTGATATCAAGTGTTGGGGGAATTATTGGTAAAAACAAAAATATGAATTATTGTCTATTTTAAAATATAAATATTCACAAATATAGGAGGAAAAAAGAATGTGGTAGAGAAAAGAAAAAGGAAAGGTGACCCCTAATTTTTGGACAATTGGAAAATGTACAAGCTAAAGATGTGAACTCACCTATGGACTTATTATGCCTATTATTGATTTTTCTTATAATTACTACACCACAAAGTTATGTTAATTATAAATAAATACTCCCTCCATTCCTAATTATCTATCACTGTTAATAATCTTTCATATTCTATATTATTTGTCACTTTACAATTCAAATATTACATTAATTATTAATTTCTAATTATACTCTTATTAACCAACACTTTCTCTTCATAACTCACTTTTTTTAATCTCTTATTTATTGTACTTATAAAAATACCAACAAATTTAATGTAGGTGTTCAATCAGACTGTTTATATTCTCAGTTTATTGTTTAGAAAAAAAATTCATAAGAAAAAAAAGGGAAAAATATGATAGATAAGCTAACGTTTAGAATGAATATATATATTTAATCACTCAATGCCATTGATATGGTTATAATGGCCCATTAATGAGGAGAGAAATTAGTGGAGACTAAGGAGAGATTAATTAAGATGAAGGGTAATTTAGTCTAAGATTATATTTTTTCCTAAAATTAAGTAATAATTAATGCTATTCTTAATCCATTTGCTAAGCTAAAAACGTCAATTATATGGGAACAGTGGAAATAATAAAAATTGTTAATATTATTTGTCACTAGAACTCAAATATTACACTGATAGTCATATTGTATATTTTTCACTAAGATCCATACATATTTATTAATTTTCTTAATCGACGTGCTGAAACGTTAAACGATGTGTAAGCTGAAATAAAGGGGGCTAACATCCAAATCCACAAATTGCAATCAATGAACCACATGGGATAGATTCACAATATAATCAATTTTGTATTATTTTTTAAGATTCTCAACGGTAATATTTTTTTTTCTTAGAGAATAATATTAATTTATGCCAATTGTTTTTTTTATTTTAATATAATTAGGAATGGTTGTGAAGGATCTCATGATCACTCTAAAATGGAGCATATTTGTGGTAGGCCATTGGGCCTACGTTTCAATCAAAAGAGTGGTGATCTATATATTGCGGATGCTTATATGGGCCTTCTTGTTGTCGGCCCGAATGGTGGCCGGGCCAGCCCGGTGGCCCAACAAGTGAATCGGGTTGCTCTTCGTTTCACCAATTCTCTAGACATCGATCAAGATAGCGGAGTCGTATATTTTACGGATAGCAGTACGAGGTTCCAAAGGAGGTAATCGTTAATTGCAGTTAATTCTCTATAAATTAATATAGTTATGACTAGCAAAATAAAATAAAATTAATTCAGCGAAATATTAACTTATCGAATTAGTAATTTAAGACGTTGGTACTGAATTAAACTAGATTAAATTATTATTTAAACGAATTTATTAATTTATTAATTAAAGTTAAGTGCATATTTTTGGCGCAAATCTTTTTAATAATAATAATTTTATTCATTTATTTTTCCTTTCATTTTCTTCTTCTATCTTCTTAATATGAATGAGATAAAGTGAAGATAACGGTCAGAAACTTCCATATTTCTTATTGTCAGAACAAAAATCTGTTAAAAAAAGTCAACGTTTATCCATTTGCAGTTTCACTCACAATTTTGACTTTTTCTCATCCAAATCCAATATTCTTGGGAAGCTAAATAATAAATTGCATTTAAATCTTCCACTTTGCAATCCCACTCTTAAGTAGGGGTGGGTTTTTTTTACCAAATTGCCCTACCAACCCGTTGCCCTACCGAACCGTACCGATTCTCTACCGAAAAATCTCTACCGAAGTATTACCGTACCCTACCGTACCATACCGAAATATTTTGGTAGGGCAACGGCACTTCACATTATTAAAATGGTAATGCCCTACCGTACCGAAATATTATTAATAAATAAAATTTTATTTTAATAATTCATTTATTATATATAATTGATGTTAAAAGTTTTTATGTTATAATTTTATTTAAGAAATATTTTACATTAGGTAAATTTAGAACATATATTTAGGACACTTATATTTTAAAAATTAGTTTTGTACGTTTTAAACATGTATACCTTGAATTGCTTTGAAAAAAATGATATTTAATTTAGACTTAAATAATAGATAATATAAATTGGTAATTACCAATACCATACCCTACCGTACCGAACTTTTGGTATACCGAAATCGGTATACCGAAGTTTTTGGTAGGGCAATGGTAATGGATTTCATAATACCGAAATTTCGGTATTGGTAGTGATTCGAGGGGTTTGGTACGGTTGCCCTACCAAACCCACCCCTACTCTTAAGTGCTTGATAATTGATATGCATGCCAATTAAAAAACTCTAAATTACATATAAACCCTTTGTATTTGAGTAATTATAGTACTCCATTCAACTACGTACTAACTACGTACTAAGGTGGTGTTTGCAAATGATTATTTAAAAGCAGAAGTTAGTGATTGTGATTTAAGTTAGTTTTAAGTGCTTATTTCTAAAAGTTGGGGGTGTTTGCAAAAATAGATTATGAGCAAAAAAAACCGCATAATCACTTTCAAAAAGCATTTGCAAACACCACCTAAATGAGGGGATTTTTGTAAAAAAAAAAAAGCGCTTAATTGAGAGGGTATTTATAATTATTCAAACAGAAGGGATCTATTTGTAATTTAACCTCACAAAGTTGTTTTTTTTTTTTTTAACAAAATTATGTAGTCATTTTTTATTATTAAAAATATGAAATTATTGTGCAGGAATCATCTCCCAATAATCATTAGCGGCGACAATACCGGAAGACTAATGAAATTCGAACCCACAACAAACAAAACCACTCTCCTTCTAGACAATCTCAAGTTCCCAAACGGCGTCGCACTGAGTCAAAACGGTGAGTTCCTACTTTTCGTGGAGACCACAACTTGTACATTATTCAAATTCTGGCTCAAAACCCCCAAATCCGGGAATCTCGAATCCCTAGCTCAATTCCCAGGATTCCCAGATAACATAAAGCGGAATCGGAACGGCGAGTTCTGGGTGGGAATCAATTCAAAGAGAGGGAAGCTATTGGAATGGGTTTTATCGAAACCCGGGATTGGGAATGCCGTGGTTGGATTGATCCCGGTGGATATCACGCGATTGTACTCGCGTTTGGGTCGGTGGATTGGGAACTCCGGAATGGGAATCAGGTTGGATGGGAATGGGAATGTGGTGGAGGTATTGGATTCTAGATGGAAGTTTGTTAGTGAAGTTGATGAAGAGAATGGGAATTTGTGGGTTGGTTCTGTAATTAGGGATTTTGTTGTTAGAGAAAAAATCTCCATTTATTAGGGAAATTAAATTCTTTGTGATAAAAAAAAATTAAATCATTATGTGTAATATGTTTAAAGTTTTAAAAAATATCGATGGGTTCGGATCGAAAACAAAGACGAGTCTTTATTAAGAGAGTTAATACGTAGCATCTACTATTAAAATAGAGATATGTGATTCAGTTCGTGCCCATTCTCTACTTTTTCGATTTGTGACAAAGATTTGAATTTAAAATATACCTAGATCACAACCAAATTTTCAATTTTATTCAATGCGACTTGTGAAACGATCAACGCGTTAACATGTTAATTCTATGTTCACTACATCAGGTGAGTTTTTATCATTGATCTACATACAAACAATGTGGTGTTTGTGTGCTTATGAATGATAAAGATCTACCCAATGTAGTATCGTATAGACTCCGAGTTAACGTGAAATATATATATATATATAAAGGTAAATTACGGCCACCCTTGAGTTATGGTCAAATTACAAAAACCCCCTCCTATTTGGGTAATTACAACCATCCCTTAACTATGTATTATTTTACGAAAATACTCCTCTTCATAAGTAAATTTAGGAATGTTAAATCGGTGAAACTGAACGAAAATTTCGGTACGCCAACATTTCATATTGTTTACTGAACTAAATATACAATTTGGTTCGATAAATTACTGAATTACATAAATTTTATGTAAAAAATATTTAAAAGGAAGGGGTGACTGTAATTATCCAACAAAAGAGTTTTTTTTTTTCGTAATATGGAGATACCTTTTTTTTTTTTTTTTTTTTTGATAAGAAATATGGAGATACCTTGGGATGACGGTAATGTGCCCTATAAATAATTACACAAATAAAACAATAAATGAAATAAATATGTGGCACACATAAGTTACATTGACCGAAAATATTTGTGGTATGGGGTGGGTGGGTGGTGGGTCTGGGCCCAGGCCCATGCTTGTCTATGATTTGAGTGGTTCAAATTTGAAGCCTCTAATTTCCACAACAAGATTAATGGTTCCATCAATTATTTGACTAAATATCTCTTGTCTTTGTCTTCTTTTTTATTCGAACAAACCCGCAACTAATTATAAATGTGTACTGAATAATACTGCACTCTCATATAATAATTTGTAAATTATACGGGAGACGTAAATTATATTGGATTAACCATGTGTGATAAATTCAATCTAACGACCGTCAGTAAAAGAATTCGAACTTAGATCAATTGACACAGACTCACTTGCTTTAATACTATGTAACATCGTTCTCAACTTATATAAAATTGGCATTTTTGGATCATTCATACATAGACATTCCAACTATTAATTAAATTCAATTTTTTTTTAACAATGTCTTGGACTTATTGTTGAATTTCAAAATACATAGAACATTCCATTGCTCTTTGCTCCATTAATTTTGTCTTATTTCATAAATTCCATAATTTTTTTTAGAGAGGTTTAATATTTTGATTAAAATATTGGTAAATATTTAAAAAGTGTGTATTATTTATTTTTGCAATAAATATTATATATGTATTTACTATTGGGCATGGGCTAAAATTAAAATCACCCCTTGGTTTAGCCGAATAGTCATTAGTGGATCAATGCGTGACAGTGATTGGTGGTTAGAATAGTTAACTTTGTTCACCTTTGTGATGTTGACCTCCTTTCATAATGATGTGTTAGAATTTTGCTGACAAGGATTCAAACTTCTGCCACGTCATTCTTGTTTGTTTGTGATAAAAATAACAAAAAAAAGCTTTATTTATTTTATCAATTAAATTTTGGCTGCGGCTATATGCAATACTCATTCCACTTGTGCAAGACCAAATTAAAGAAAGATTCTAAAAGATTCTATTTTATTAAGATGGAATGACAAGTATGCCCATAAATTAAATTGGCTTTTTTTTCTCATGTAAGACCAAATACAAATAATGAGAAAAAAACAAAAATCGACACCAAGGTGTCGAAAAACTATGCTACAAATCGACACTTAAGCGTCGAATTTCATAGGTAAAAATCGACATTGACATGTCGAATTTATAGCACAAATTCAAATGTCGAATTTTATACCTCAAAATCGACATCTAAATGTCGAATTTTGTACCTCAAAATCGACATCTAAATGTCGATTTTTACCTGTAAAATTCGACCTGTACATGTCGAATTCGTTTGCGCGAGATTTTTTTTGGAAAATCGATATTCTAGCTAAAAAACCCATAAATGTATACATTCTTGGGTTCTTCCATCGTAGAATCTTCTATTTTGATGTCTTCTGACTCCATACTTGCCATCTTTGTAAGATTTGTTGAGTTTTGATGATTTTGAATTTCTAGGTTTTGTGGGTTAATGGAGGAGGAAGGAGAAATGTCTTGTGGGTTTTGGAAAATGGAGAAGATGAGAGTTGGTCTTGTAGTTTTATGGTCTTGTAATAGAGTTTTTTGTGTTTTTGAATATTTGGTCTTGCATATTTGGAATTTTTTATTTTTTTAATAAGTAAGGGTATTATAGTATTTATACATTGAAAATTTTATTTTGGTCTTGCACAAGTGGAATTAGTCTTGCATATAACCGCAGCCTTAAATTTTTTATTCGAGCTAAGATTCTCATGTATATTTTAATTAGTTTTTTTTTTTTGTCAAATTTGCACTTACAAATCATTTGTGTTGTTTGATTTCAAGCAATTATCTCTCTTACATCATCTTTCTTTTTTATCATGTCTACTCTTATTGAGCCGATTGATTTATAACCGAGTCAATTAAGTTAGAATCGAGTTAAGATTGACTCCATCAATTTTAATCAGTTCACTCAATTGAAATCGAGAAGACAAACACGTTAGGTGCGTATATTGCAACTTAGCTTAATCGAAAGACAGTGAATAAACTAATAAAATTGCGATAATATATTTTTTAACTAGACAGTGCTATAATTATTAATTGAATTCGAATAATATGTTGGTCATATCAAAATTTTATCGAATCGGAACTAGAAAAAAAACATATTTAAGTAATGTTATTAATTTATCGAGATTCTGACTGTAATAATTTGTTATTGAAAATCTAACTTATTCATATCTAATTTTGACCGATGTTATTTAAGGTCTAATTATTTGGTGGAATATCATAATAAATATTATTTTGATAAATTGATAATTAAAATACCGACTATAATTTAATCCCAGTATCAAATAAAGGGGGTAAATAGTAATTTCACGTCATTTTCTTCCTCCATCTCCACCCCATACCTTGATGCCACTTGTCTCCTTTTGCACAGAGCACCCATATACTGGATATACACACACTTATACACACACACACACGCACATATACACGCACTGTGAGTGACTGTGTGAGAGAGAACACTCTGCACTATTTTAGCAAAGCTTCACACACCTTTAAAAGGGAGCGTGAAATGTAGGAGCATTTGAGGTGAAAAAACAAAACAAAAAAAAATGATGGCTTATTCAGCGAGAACTACGATCAGCAAACTCTTCAATCGCCGCCGTTTTTCCCTGACTCCGAGGCCTGGATCTCCGCATTTCTCGACCTCAGCTGCCGTTGCTTCGGAGCCGCCGCCGCCGCCGCCGGCGGAGGTGCTGAACGGGCCGAGAATTTTGGGGATGGTCAAAGAGTACGAGGATTACCGGAGGAATTTGTACGGCGGGCTGACGCACAAGGCTTTACTTGTTGACGCCGTCGGCACTCTCGTTGTTCCTTCCCAGCCAATGGCCCAGGTTTAATTTTAATTTTGAATTTTTGTTTTTGTTTTTCCTTCATTTGTGTGATTTATGGTATTTCTGGAGTGGATTTAATGCCTTAAAAAACTACACAGGAAGTAATTGCGAATCTGCAATCCCTAGATTTTTTTCCGATGAATTTTATGATTCGCCTGAAATTAGTTATGCATGCATATGAATATGATGATAATTGATAATTGAAGAAAGTAATTATGACTTAGGGTTTTTGACAAGGATAAATCACTGTTCTCTTTTGCTGTTGTAATCAGTAGTCACTGTTCAATTACTGTTGCAGATCTGTTTACAGTCTCACTATGCTTATTGAAACTAATCCTCGCATTTGTTCATATCGAATTTCAACTAAAAATCGCCGTAATTTTCTATGTGTAGATATATAGACAGATCGGTGAAAAGTATGGAGTCGAATACTCCGAATGCGAGATATTGAACAGATACAGATGGGCGTATGGACAGCCTTGGGGTAGATCGCGTCTCAGGTTAATTAAATTCTTGTCTCTGATTATAAGTTATAATCATTCTTGATTTTCAATGATCAATAGCAGTACTCGTTAACGATTTTCGGTGATTCTTGATTTAACGCGCAGATATGTGGATGACGGAAGACCGTTTTGGCAGTTCATAGTCAGTTCTTCGACGGGCTGTTCCGATTCTCAGTACTTCGAAGAACTCTATAACTATTACACCACCGAAAAGGTTGTTATCTATCGTGTGTTCTGTAATCCTAAACAGGGGTAGTGTTAGATACGTTTTATTTGTATCTAATACGAGCTAATATATTACAGGCTTGGCATCTATGCGATCCAGATGCAGAGAAAGTGTTCAAAGCTCTTAGAAAAGCAGGAGTTAAGGTAGCTGTTGTGTCCAATTTCGATACTAGGTTAAGACCTTTGTTGAGAGCACTTAAATGTGATCACTGGTTCGATGCTGTGGCGGTTTCTGCTGAAGTAAGTGGGAGCTCGTTTCTTTTCGATTTTCCGTAACTTTTATTTAAATGTATGCAATCTAACTTATATTAAACATGATGTCTCTATATTTAAAAAAATAGGTTGAAGCAGAGAAGCCAAACCCTATGATATTCTTGAAAGCTTGCGAGTTCTTGGGGGTAGAACCGGAAGATGTTGTACATGTTGGAGATGATCGGAGAAACGATGTGTGGGGTGCTAGAGATGCTGGCTGTGATGCTTGGCTTTGGGGAAGTGATGTTAAATCCTTCAAAGAGGTATTGAATTTCTTTTTAATACATATACACATGCGCACACACGCACACACTAAAAGTCTTTATACTCGTGATTGTTCTTGTGAACTATGTATCGTTTTCTTCATATACTTTCTTGAAAAAATCATGGCAATTGCAGACTCTTAAAGTGAATATATTCACATTTCAGTTTAATAATTATACCATGTTACTAGGACTCCGTAATTTAGTAAGAGAGCTAACTTCGGAGATATCGAATGTTACACTATTGATATCGAATATACATCTCTTGTATATGTATATAGAATCACTTTTTCTCCAAATATTTTTCTCATTTTATTTTTTAATAGGTTTGTGTTTGGAAGGTGGTTTAATTCGAAATTCGATTGTTCAGGTTGCTCAAAGAATTGGAGTTCAGGTATGAAGTGGCTCCCCACAATTTGTAGAGATGCAGGCTTTTTGTATGGAGGAGGAATCAGATTCTGTATATATTTTAGTTTCCTTTCTTAATTTCTTTTTCTTTTTTGTAATATGTATGAGTGCAATTTTAAATAGAATAAATTGCAAAACTATTTAAATATTTTGTAAATATTTTTAGGAAATATTTGAGGTTTGCTTAAGGTTTCGGTTTCGGTTTCATATCTTTATTCTTTTGGTAGATTACGGGCACCTCCTCTCCTGAGGTAAGATTACATAACTTACAGACCCCTGTGGTATTGCTAATTACAAATATCCTCTCGAGCTATTTTTCCGTCTTATCTAACGAAATTATGAGTAACGGAATTTTGAAAATTGCATATTCGTTTATGAATTTCCAAATCTACCTATATGGGTAAATGAAACAAATTTAAATAAAATATATAATTTTCTTAAGCAAAACGAATAGGTGATGTAATAAAATTTAAATGACGTAATAAGGCCCATTAATACCCATCAAGCCCATTCGAAGTAATCCAATTCTTCAGGCCCGAATATTTGTGTAAATATATAATATAATTATTGCCGTCATTATTGCGTCATTAATAAGGCGAAGATCCAGGGTTCGAATCCTGAGTATCTCAACAAATAAATAAATCGAAGAACAAAATGAATTGGACAATGTACAATTTAAAATAGCAGTACAACAATTACTAGGCGGGAAAATCACCAAATCCCCTTTCCACTCTTCTGCTTTCTCTCTCACGTTCTCACACACAATCGAGAGAGAGAGATACAGAGAGAGAATGGAGAGAATACACGTGTCAGTAAGAGCTAGGCCACTCTCCCCCGAGGATGCCAAGGCCAGCCCATGGCGAATTTCCGGCAATTCCATCTCCATACCCACCCAACCCTCCAAATTTGAATTCGGTACGTTTTCGATTCTGTATTTTAGGTTTTTTTTTTGCTCGACATTTACAACTTTGTGCGCGGTGTCATTATTCGATTTTGATGATCTGTAGACCAGATATTCGGGGAAGATTGCGAAACTCGAGATGTATACAGTGCTCGGACTAGAGATATTGTGGCTGCTGCAGTTCGGGGCTTCAATGGTATTTTTCTCCCCCTAAAACAAAACTATTTATCTTTGCTTATTTTGATGATATTGTTCCAACGAAATTTTCGAAAGAATTACGATTTTGTTATGCAGTAAAGTAGAAACTTGAGGCAATGAGTAAGAATTTATGCGGACGTCTTCTTGCTTGAGTCATGAATAGTTTTCAGATTCATTATTCTAGAGATAATTCATGGCCATTTATGTATGACAAGTTAAATTTTCTCCTAATCCATGATATGACAATGTTAAAATAGGCCACATGGATTAACAACTAGTTAAGCTGAGTAAGTTGTGCAACTGCGATTATCATTTTTATACCGTTATCCATGTTTTTCAACTTCTTATGGGGCATTCAATTTCCAATAATTTAGAAGTCGTATGTATTTGTATGTCTTACTGGTTGATTCTTTAAGGAACTGTTTTTGCATACGGACAAACAAGTAGTGGAAAAACGCATACAATGAGAGGATCAAGTTCTGAGCTTGGAGTTATCCCCCTTTCTGTCCATGATGTTTTTAACATTATACATCAGGTATTCGTTCATTTCGTACCCTCTTGTTAACTATGCCCTTTCCGGCCATAGATCAAGCAAGTAGTAACTATATTTTTTATCTAATTTTTGTTACATACATGGTTTGTTTTTTAATGCAGTCTAATATTGTTTTCTTTCTCTTAAGGAAATGGATCGAGAGTTTCTTTTACGTATGTCGTATATGGAAATTTACAATGAGGAAATAAATGATTTGTTAGCCCCCGAGCAGAGGAAACTTCAGATTCATGAAAGTATCGAGGTAATAATTGGCTATTATTTTGTTTGTCTGGATATTGTACGGAGAACTGTATTTTTAGTGTATGTTAAAATGCGTTTTGGGAAAATGAAGCGAGGAATCTTTGTTGCTGGGCTGAGAGAAGAAATCGTGGCATCTGCTGATCAAGTCCTTCAACTTATGGAGTTTGGAGAATGTAAGTTCTAAACTTCATATTCTGAATTTAAGAAACATTGTACTCCTTTTCTTGTTATTTATGATAAGGATAAATTTCTGCTTAAAGTGTGACTTACATATAGCTTCTTTAACAGCCCAAGTCATTGCCAACTTCTTTCCATCCTAAATATGAGAATGAAAGAGAAAATCAAAAGAAATTGAACCTTTGTTTCAGTTTTTGATGTTTATGAAAAAGGGTTTGCACAAAATCTTTATGTACACATAGAGTCCATTGTCTTTATGAAAAAGGGTTTGCACAAAATCTTTATGTACACATAGAGTCCATTGTCTTTACGAAAAAGGGTTTGCACAAAAAAATTGACGCCTTCTCTTTCTTATTTACAGCTCATCGTCATATTGGAGAAACAAATATGAATGTCTACAGTAGCAGATCACACACAATATTCCGCATGGTATGTAGATTATTTATCTGTTCATTTCGTAGTTGTGTGACCTATTGATTCAGCTAATCAAGAATTTGTTCAAGATAGATTATCGAGAGCAGGGAGAAAACTGGTGATTCGGAAGCAGAATTCTCATGTGATGCAGTTCGTGTTTCTGTCTTGGTATTATCTTTATTCTACTTCATCCATAATACAAATTCAAAGTCTTGATTTCTGTTTCTGTTTTTTACTCTATTCTTCTTGAGTTCTGTTTTTTTTTTTGGTTTTCTTTCTCCTATCTTGTTATCCTCTTCTTTCAAGAAGAAAGTAGTATGACCATCACTTTTCTGTACATTGTCCTGTTTTTCTCCTTATTTGTTTTTTGGTTCCTGATTGAACTTTTGCAGAATTTGGTGGATCTTGCTGGTTCAGAACGTGCTGCAAAGACTGGAGCAGAAGGTGTTCGATTAAAGGAGGGCTCCCACATCAATAAAAGCCTGATGACCTTGGGAACTGTCATAAAGAAACTCAGTGAAGGTGCTGAAAGCCAAGGGTATGTATGAATATACTACTAAAAATCACATACAGCGATTTTATAATGATGACATATATCATAATATTTCAGAGGACATGTTCCGTACCGAGACAGCAAACTCACGCGTATTTTGCAACCTGCATTGGGTGGAAATGCAAATACTGCTATGATATGCAATATTACGCTTGCACAGGTGAATATTTGGAGCTTCATAAAACCTTAAATAAATTTGAAAATTTGTGTTGATATCTGGAAGAATTGGTGATGTGATGATCTGTACTGGCCTCTTTTTTTTTTTTTCCTTTTTGGGTATAAATATTATTTCGACAGTCTGAGTAAGAAGTATCTAACATATTCATATGCATGGATTTCGATTTTTATTTAATCGCAGATCCATGCTGATGAGACTAAAAGTAGTCTTCAGTTTGCTAGCAGAGCACTCCGTGTGACAAACTGTGCTCATGTAAATGAGGTATTACCCTTGACTGGTATATTCCTCGTAGTTGTATTTACATACGCATTATTCACCATTTCAGAAGTTCTAAATCAAGTTTCTTGATTTTTTTTGTAAGCACACATTGTTTATGCTTGCATTGAAGAAGTAAGTAATTTGTATATCCCTTCTCTTCGATGTTCTAATTTGAGCTTGACATAATCTATTTATAATGACAGATTTTGACTGATGCTGCCCTGCTAAAACGTCAAAAGAAGGAGATTGAGGAACTTAGAGCCAAATTGCAGGTTAATACTTGGTATAGGTGTATATGTGTAATCACGGTCAAGGTCTAAGATTTTTATTAGTTTTTACTGTGTATGATATCATGCTTATTCTTGTTTGATTTTCAAGGGTTTACACTCGGAGCATCTTGAAGAAGAAATCTTGAACCTGCGAAATACATTGCTAAAGGTTACTAATTTTACTTATTCTTTCACATGAAGGTACATGTATATGTTCTAAGATTGTTTTTTACTTTAACCATCTGTAGAGTGAATTGGATAGAGAAAGAATGGCTCTAGAGCTGGAGGAAGAAAAGAGAACTCAGGCTGAACGAGAGAAGATATTGCAAGTGCAAGCCAAGAAAATCGAGAACTTGAGTTCTATGGTATTCTGTGCAAATAGAGAAGAAACCGGTGATGACTATAAAAAGGTCTGCTATCTTGTGCTGTCTTCTTTTGGCTTGTTTGTACTTTGCCTCTTAGAAACATGAGTAGAAGTAATATTGAAGCTATTATTACTGTAGCTCTAGTTTGCTTAATGTGTTTTTGTTGCTACATGTACCCTCTAAAAACTATAATTTTTATGTCCATATTTCTTTTTTAATTCTGGGTGGTTCTCTATGTAGGAAAAACGGCGTGATACCTGGTGCCCTGGAAATCTTGGAAGGAAAAAAATAAAAGAGGTAATACTTGTACTTCAGATAGTATGGAATTCACATTTTCTAGGACTATCTACTGATGTATGACAGAAATGATGATCGTTTTTTTTTCCCTAATTAAAATGAATGTTTCTTATTACGGATATGTATGGTCAACCACCAGGAAAAGTCAAGTGTATAATGTTGGGACAAACAACCTCAATTAGAGTTGCTTAGAAATTATAATATATGCTATTCAGAAGTATACACAGTCTACTGGTACAGATATAAGGCTTTGCTGCTTATTTGAAATATTTGCAAATGCCCATGACATACTTGTATAGACGAACTTGTGGTACTAAATATTAGGTTTAACATTGTAAGTTTGTTTTATGTTAGCAACTTATCACCTTCGGTTTCTAAGACTTACATATAGCCCTTTATGCATAACGTTTTTCCCCAGAACATTCAAACTACAATAGCTATATGTGCACGAGTATTCATTAATGTTCTTACTTGGTGCTCTAGTTGCCTACTGCGGTTAAAGAAAACTCTTCCCAAGTCAAACCAAGAAGAGCAAATTGCACAACGGGGCCTCTTCTTCCTTTTGAAGAGTTGGTAAATGAAACAAGTACTTCTGAACTTCACAAACAAGATCAAGATTGTAAAAAGAGTGCTTTGGAGGACTGTATTCTTCCTGACCCACATGCTTTGCTGCACGTTACCAGTCGGAGAAAAGTTCCATCAAAAAGAAGTTTACCAATGGTTCATACTTTGTCACATATTTTTCCTTACCTTTTTCAATTTGCTTCTGGGACTAATTTATTCTCATGCAGGAGAGCAACAACTCAGTTGAAATGCAAGCGGAATACGAAAATTTGCTCTTAGAATTCGAAACTCATGTTAGTTTTTCCTACTATTGTACAATGTTGCATTAAACCTTTTTTTATTACTAACTTTTCCTCGTTGCAGAGGATGATGAGTGACATCAAAATTGATTACTTGATGACGAAGCTTGTTGAGGCCGATCTTCTTGTGGATGAGAAATGCAGAGAGTGTGCTGCAAAGAACATCAATCCTGTATCTAATCCAGAGGAAAATAGCAGTCTGAGGGACTTGGATGCTATTCTTGTGATCAAGCAACTTCAAGAAAAGGTTTTCCTCTTATTTATTGCGTTTATTTTAGTCTTTGCCTCACTTGATACTTCATTTATTCTCAGTAGAAATATTGTGAATAACTCAACTAGGTAAAGCCTCCTATTATTTGAGCTTGTCAAGTAAGATTTATAGCTGCAAAGAGTAGGTGTTTTGGTATTTAATAGCTGCATGAAGGCTCTTGCTATATAGAAGTCTGATTGACGTATCACTAATTCCCTTCTAATCATGCTTTGAATCTTCAATTGTGCAAATATCTGAATATTGTTATGCAGATTGCAGCTTTAGAGATGGAGAAGTCCTCGAGCCAAAAAAATCTAGATTGTAAATCGGGCTTGAGAACTGAGCAGACTGTATCTGCACAAGAGAAATGTGAAACGGTTCATTCTCTAATTTATGATACGGATACCTATATTTTCCATGCGGTTTTAACATGTAGATAAAGTATCAGTTCAGTTACAATGCCTTAAGATTCTTTAATTGATATAATTGAAATTGAAATATATTCATTCCAGTTATTATATTTTTGTTCAATTCAGCTTCATGATGAACTTATGCTTGCACAAGAAGGAGCAACTCTAGCTAGTGAAAACCTTGCTTCAACAGTGTCTAGCATGGTAACTGGCTAGCGTTTCACCTTATGCATCCAACGATTTTCCGTACTTGAATTTGTAGAAGATTTTTACCGTGGCTATATGCAGAGATGTAAAGTTCATTGTTTATATCTTTTTTCAGGAAGAATCTGATTGGTTGATCAGTTTATTAGCAGAATCCGAGGAATTAAAGAAAGAGTTTGAAAGTTCAAAACAACTTGTGGTTTCTCTCTCTTCAGTTGTGGACGAACTTTTCAGTTTCTTGCCAAACCTGCTCGTAAGTAGGCATCTTTAGAGAATCTTTTCTTTTTGGGTATATCCTTCAGAAAATAAAAGAATTTAGAGATGACTTGCAAGTATATGGACTAAATTTACTTCTTGCTGTTTTATTCGTCTATTATCGTTAAAAATATATTTTTGTTTTGGCATAGTAAATTATTATATGACAATGTAAATTATTTTTGTTTTAACTGCAAGTGCAGGATCTTAAACCTTCAGTTTCGCAAAGTTTGGTTCAAATAGAATCGATTGTTAAGAGCCATGAGAAGGTGCAGTCTTGCTTGAGAGACAAAGTTCATAAGCTTGAGGATGAGAAGGTATTTTTCACTGCATGTTAATTACTTACTTAATAATTGGAATTGTTGAAAATTGAAACCCACATTTCCTGTTGAGATATACAGCTTTCTCTTTACGATCAAGCTTCAGAGCTTCGTACTAGGATAGAAGAATTAAGTTCAGAAGTTCAGAATTCTACGAACGCATTAGTGGTACGTTACTTTACTTTGTTTCATAGTTTCTTGTTCGCTTAGTCGAAAACTTCTCATTAGTTTCGTTTTTAGGAACTAAATGAGAAACACGAAGAAGAAAAGGCTGATGTGTTATGTCATCTTGAAATGCTCCAAAGGGAAAATCAATCTTTATCATCTTCTTCTTTGGCAAAAGAAAAGGAAAGTATCAGAAAAGATTTGGAAAAAACAAAATTAAAGTTAAAAGACACGGAGTCCAAGCTCAAGAATGCAGTGCAGGAGAAAACTAAGCTTGAGGTATTATTATACCATTTTTCTTGCTTTCTTGATTTTCGTATGCCCTTTCATCTTTTAACTTACAAATGCGTTTTGCTTCGATGCCAGGGTGAGAAATCATGTGCAGAGAGAGAACTTAAAAGACTACAAAATCAAAAAGCTAAGATTGAACGTGATATGAGCAAACGTGAATCTATTATTGGAAAAATGCGCGATCCAACGACTGATAGGAGCTCGAACGTGTTTGATCAAAAGCGAGCAAAGGGCTCTGCTGCTTTGGCTGAACTGGAGGTAGTTAGTTATCAGTAATTATAATTAGAGGAATCAAGAAATTATAGGAAAAATAGAGAAACTAGATACTCAACTCAGTCTGTCTGTTTCTTTTTAATTTTTTTTTAATTCTCCCTTTAATCGATCCTTTAACTTTAGGAGTACAAGAAGCTGGAAGTGCTTGCTTTTGAGATGGAGATCACAATTGCATCTTTAGAAGAACAACTGGCAATGGCAAACGATGAAAAGGATATATCCACTTCCAGAGCTGAGGAATTGGCTTCCGATTTGCAGGCATTGTCTGACGAATTGCACTTGTCAAAGTCGGAGTTGACTACACTGAGGGAAGAAGTTCCAATTCTTGTAAGCTTTTTCTTAGTTTACACTCACATTTCCACAAATCTTGAATTATGATTGGCTTATTCGAATTTACGTCAAAATATTTCAGAGAAGAAGTTTGGAAGAATTTAGCTTTCATGCTCAGAAAATGGAAAGTTCTCTTCAAACTTTGTCGGAAGAAAAGGAGGACTTGTCGATGGTACTGAAGTAAAATAATGTTCCGTTTTTTTTTTTACAAATCAATCTATAATTAATAATTGTGTTAAATTTTTTATGCTATTATTCTTTCTTGCAGCAACTCACTGAAGCCCTTATGACAATGGAAGAGGAGAAAGCAATATGGTCATCCAAGGAGAAAGCTTCGGTAGAGGTCATTGGAGTAAAGGAAAAACAATATACTGCTGAAATCGCTTCGTTATCTAAACAATTGTCAGAGGTAATCTTCAAACTAGACACATTAATTCTTAAAATACAATAGTATTTCGTTTTAAGATTTCGAATGCCCACAAACCTTTTTCTTCTGGAAATTGTACGAAAAATTGCAATGATTAGTACCAAAAAATAGATATTAACTCGTCTGGGATTTTATTTGTTCTCCTCTGTTATACATGCGATATAATAGCACAGTCAGAAATATTGCCGACTGATTTATGTTAGTACATTATGTTAATATCGAAGATGACATGATGTTGATTTGCGTAGGTATCAAAGTTAAAAGACGAATTAGAGCAGCAGAGTGATAGAATTGCTAGCATGGAAGGCAAGATGCACAATGTAAGGGATCTTACACCTTAACGCTACTTTCTTGATGTTTTTTATGTCTGCACAACGGAAATAATATAGCAATTTTTTTTCATAACCGAAAACGTGTTTTTTTTTTCTGGTGATTTTGAACAGGATCAAGTTCAGTACAACTTAGAGAAGGCGAAACTGAGAATGAGACTGAGGGGAGCTCAGACGAAACTGGATACTTTTCGTGTTAGATACGAAGAGTCTGTAGATGAGTTGGCGTACATGAACCGTAAATTTGGAGAGGCTTCATCAAATCTCAAGAAACAATTAGCTTCATACGGTATCGAAATCCTTAATCTTAAGAAACAACTTGCCGGCTTTAAAGGACAATAACACAATAAATAAACAACTTTCGAGCATTGTCGATGGAATTTAACCTTTTCACCAATTATTTATTGTAAATTTTATCCCCTGAAAGTTGTTTTTGGCTTTGGAAAAGAATTTAAGGCTGTAAATTGTAATGCAATAATTTTCTTATTTATCTCAATGAAAATTTGACTAAGTTGTCATTTCTATGTTTATATGAAACTAAGGATAAGGAATTTACGAGCTAAAACCTCTTTTCTGTTCGATATTATCCGTCATTTCAGAATTCCAATATTACCCTTATTAACTATCTCCAACACTCTATCTTATATTAATTAGTGGGCAAGGATAGGGATGGCCATGGGGCGGGTTTTGGAAAACTCGCACCCGCCCCCCACTCCTAGCAAAATTTCTCACCCATACCCGTTTCGGGTTTGATTTAACCTGCCCCCTGTAAAACCCGCTCCGCCTCGGACCCGTAAAAATTAGTTTTTTTTTATATTTGTAATTTATTTAATGAAAATATATTTAAAAATTAGTATTTTATAATCCAAAAAATAAATAAAATTACTAAAAATATATATATATAAACAGGTTGGATACGGGTCGGGTAAGGGTGGATATGTTAAAAAACCCGTACACGCTCCATTAACTAATGGGACGGGGACTACCCGGAAAATCCGGGGCAGGGCGGTTATCCGGTGGGACGGGTTAAATTGCCATCCCTGGCAAGAATATTTTAGTCTAAAAATATATATTTGTTTAAAATGAAGCCACAGATCCTTAACCCTGGTGCAAACCGACAATATAAGAATTATAAAGGAATAAATGCACATTCTTATCTTGATTTCAATGGTTAGCTAAAAGCCAACAGATTCCTTGTTCCTATAACGAAACACACATATACACAGTGGCGGATCCAGGATTTTTGCCAAGGGGTGCTAAATTGTAGAATAAAAAATTTAAATATCACTTTATAAAAATAGTGGACCAAAAATTTACAATTTAAAAATTTTAGGTGAATTGTGTAAATATTTAAAGAGAAAAAGGGTGAAAAATGTAAAGATTTGAAAAAAAATAAACTTTTTCGAGGCTGAGGGTTCGAACCCGGGACCAATTAACAAAAGGAGGAACACCTTTACCAACTCATCCAACTACTTTTCTTGTAAACTTATGTATAACGGTATTATTTGTTTAAAATCAAGGGTGTGCAACTGCACACCCTAGACCATGGCTAGATCCGCCACTGCATATACATATAGAGAATATGTATATGTATAGCTGACTTAACCGTTGAATTATAACGGTAAGGACAAAAACAATAAATCTGAATCCCATTTATTTATATTTTTCAAAGTTGAAATTCAGAGAATGCAGGAAGAGCGTGTTTCCACGTGCAGAATTGTCCAGGTGTCGTGTGCGCCATGCACTAATCGCGTGATTACTTTAATTAACTAGGGTTAGCCTTAAGCCATGCGCGTGCTCTTCGAGTGTAGGAACCATATGGGAATTATTTAAATATTATAGGCCCATAAAGATTATAGTATTATTTTTCTTGGAATTTTTAATTTTTTTCTGTTGATAGAAAAGATTTTATATATGAGAAACTCACAATAAATTCTCTCATTATTAGGTAAATAATATCAGAAAATTAGATGGCATCCGTAGATTTACGCATAATCACACACATAAACTCATCTACATGGGTGCTTATTAGATAGTTATTAATTAAATATGCGGTACAAATCCAACCAGTATAAAATAAATAACCAGGTATAGCATCGAACTCCGCGTAGATATCCCCTCCAAACTCTTGTAACAATTAATAAATGATATTAATTAGCAATATTCAATTCTTGGTTTACTTTGATTACTTCCACTATCTAATTAACTTCCCTTCTTTAGTTACCAACATAAACCAACACAAAATTTTTTATTACAATAATTTAGGAATGAATGCTGATGTAGGATTAGTTCATATGACAGCAACACTTATAATCCAAACTATATAAATAGACCTCATTACCAACTAACCTAACATATAACTTGTTAATCATAACTACAATTCCAAAACCACAAATTAAAAAAAAAAATTTAATTAAGTGAGTGAGAAATTAAAATGATGGCATTATCTCATCAATTTTGTTCTGTAGGATGGCTTTTGGATGATCCCATAAGCCATGATCATCATCAAGCAAATATGATCAACTATTTGTCTGCAGATAGACCACAAGATACTTCGGAATATTCCATCGATCTTCATTCTCCGAATTCATCAAGAACAAACCCTAAAATCAACGGCGGTGATGGAAACAAGACCGTCAAGAAGCTCAACCACAACGCCAGCGAACGTGATCGTCGCAAGAAAATCAATAATCTGTACTCTTCTCTTAGGTCGCTTCTTCCGAACGAGGATCAATCTGTAAGTTATTTTTATTTTATTTTAGATTTTTTCTCGTTTTATTTTCGTTTGGTTGCATTTCGAGAAGAATCATTTTACACGACTAAATATTTCAAAATTCATAATAATTATTAAAAAAAATTGAGCTTTGTTTGGATGAATTAAAAATACCTCTCTCTCTCTCTCTCTCTCTCTCTCTCTCTCTCTCTCTCTCTCTCTCTCTCTCTCTCTCTCTCTCTCTCAGTTTGAATTACATAGATATTTAAAATCCTAATAAAATCCTAATGAAATCTATAAATTAAAACAATTTTTTTTTTCGTGTAATGTATTTTTTAAATGTTTAAAAATTATATACATTATTTATAATAACATAAATAATAATATGATATTAATAATTTGATGACAGAGAAAACTGAGCATACCAGCCACAGTTTCAAGAGTGGTGAAATACATTCCAGAAATACAGAAAGAAGTTGAAAGGCTAACTCACAAGAAAGAAATGCTGACGTCAAAGATTACGTCACCATCTGCACCGTCATCATTTGGTCTGAAGAAACAAAATAATATAAATTCATCAGCTGTAACAGCAACACAGATAGGAGAGAGAGAAATCGTGTTTCAGATATCAAAAGCTGACTATCAAAAGCGTGCTTTACAAATTTCTGAAGCTGTAACGACTTTTGAGGAGCAAGGGTTTCTTCTCACTAATGCCACTTCTTTTGAGTCATTTGATGGCAGAATTTTCTTTAATTTGCATATTCAGGTATTTATTGTTTATTATTTAATTATTTTCACTTTATTTTTTTTTTCAATTATATACTGACTTTAATTTTCAAAAATAATTTTAAAAAATTGGATTTTAATTTCCGAAGTAATTCCACCTTTCGTAAAAATTTATACTTATTATATCAATACGATCATGTTTTTTTTTTTCCTTCGTTTTTTTTTTTATATTATAGGTGTATATAGAAACCAAATTAATTTCGAATTTACATTTTTATCGGAGTGGAGGAGGTTAAATTAGTTTTCCCAATTTCGAAAAAAATTATTATTCATTATTATTATAAATAATTTCGAAACTTGATAATTACATATTAGATTCTATAAGATTAATTAATTCTAATCCTATTGTATTTTTGGATTCAACAGGCACAAGGAAGTCATCAAGTAATGAATGCTGAAATATTGAAGGAGAAATTGTGGCCATTTTGAGACAATTGGAAGAATTAAATTAATTAATATTTAACTATTAATTAATTACTTACTTAAAAGGAGATTAATTCTCTATATATGTGTAAAAGTTCGAACTATATATAAATAATTAGAAATTATATCAACTTGTGTATCAAATTCTGTACGGTTCCCATTAATTAATGTAATTGACTTAGGTGATGAATTAATTATTAATTAATTAATTAATTAAATCTAATGTTTTTTAAGTTTTATTTTAAAGATTATCTTGTGGATGGAAACCTTATTGCATATATCCAACAACTGCAAATATTTGTTTATTTAATTAATTAGTGGCTACGTTGTAGACTTGCAGACAGTAGAGCCACAAATTAAATAGATGCATTTGAACAAGCTTCGGTCGGGTCGGGTCGGGTCGGGTCGGGTCGGGTCGGGTCGGATCAAGATCCGGAATTTGGTCAATGAATTGATTAGGTATAAGGGTCGAATAAATCCCAACTCTTGAAATTGTGAAATTATCGAGAAGCTTCAGGTATGTCCGGCTCAATTGACGGTTCTACTAATTAGCATTATAACTTCGCATGCAATTAAATGTATAAGTTTTATTTTCATAAATAATTTTGGAGATGCGAATCACTAATTAATTGGCATAAATTTAAATTGGGTCCAAGTTAGATTATAAAAACTAAAAATAACTTTAATTGGGTCCAAGTTAGGTGTCTACCCACAAACAAGCCCACTTGTTTGGCCCATTATTCAATGGAAGCTGTAACCGGGTCTTTTTTTGTTACTAATATTATATATAAGATACATTTCGCTATTATATCAACTGGCCCATTAGCTCAGTTGGTTAGAGCGTCGTGCTAATAACGCGAAGGTCGCAGGTTCGAGACCTGCATGGGCCATTTTATTTAATAACGCTATTTTTTGGAAAATTACAGTTTATCCTTCAAGTTTGCATCTATTCCACATCCAATCCCTTATGTTCACTAAAAATTACAATTGGTCCCCATGTTTCAATAAATTAACATTTTTGGCCCTCTCCCTCAATTTATGGGCCAATTTTATTAATAATATTTTTTTTCGGAAAATTACAGTTTATCCTTCAAGTTTGCATCTATTCCACATCCAATCCCTTATGTTCACAAAAAAATACATTTGGTCCCCATGTTTCAATAATATAACATTTTTGGCCCTCTCCCTCAATTTATGGGCCAATTTTATTAATAATGCTTTGTTTCGGAAAATTATAGTTTATCCTCTAAGTTTGCATCTATTCCACATCCAATCCCTTATGTTCACAAAAAAATATATTTGATCCCCATGTTTCAGTAATTTAACATTTTTGGCCCTCTCCCTCAATTTATCGTTACTCCTTTAGTTAAGGTAGTGTGGACACATGATTGATTCCGTCAGTTTTAACATAAACTTGTCAGGAAAGACCGAAAATATTGAATTTTTCAAATATGAGGGTTTTTTTGAATATCGGGGCAAACTTGAGGGATGAAAACTGTATTTTTCCTAAAAATAAAAATTTGTTTTAATATTCCACATCGATATTAAGACAGAATATACATACTGCTGTCTGATTTTTGTCTCATCATTTCTAGCCATTCACTTTTTTCTGTATGCCTCCCATTTGGAAGAATAATAAGAGATAAATCAACCACAAATTATTGTACCAAAATATACTTTATTGAAAATGTTCAAAATAATTTATTCTGCACTAACTTGTCGGGTTTTCGGGTAAGTTTATTCGACTAAGCAATCAACGCATAATTTACAACTGAAAATCAAATCAAGCTACTCGACCCAAAATTCTATGTCGAAAAGCTGTATTTATCGATATAAAGAACCAAACTTAAATAAAAAATAGTGTATGTCGATTTTTTATCAGTTCAATTCATTTGCTTTCCGGCCTTCTAATAAATGTTAGTGAATTATTTAATTTGATACTACGTATGGTTTTCCAATTGCCAAAATTGGGATAAACAACAAAATTACCAACAATAAAAAAGTTGTTCAAATGTGATTTTCAATATCTAAATTTGGATTAAAAGGCTGGGTTAGGAGCATAATCATTATCTGGTTTTCCTTAATTATAATGATTAGTCTCTATTAATTTCAGGAGAATTTATAAAAAGGCAATGAACATTGAATCTCGACCAAGAAGTCATAATTGTTTTTGTACTAATGTATATTACATGTTGGACTATGGTGCATCAAATTAAATGTACCCTGAAAATTAATTGTGCAATAAGGATTAAATAATTAATAATTATTCAATAAATATTCCATGAACATATTAACAGCAATTTTAGATTTTCAATTTTGCATTTTTTCTCGTTTTAATCTTAGTAATTGAACTCTAAGAATTAATTTACTCTCTTATTACATCATTAAGTGATCAAGGTTATTTTAGTTTTTTTAATGTCTTTTTTTTTCTAAAATCAAGACACGGTTATTAAGATTCTTAATACTTGTACAAAGTTGAAAATCGACGATTAATTCGGAACAGAAGGAGTGCCACACTACACCTGGTTTGTGATTTTTTATTTTTATTTTTTGAAACTGAATATATTTTCTCAAAAAAATGTTCTCTAATAAAATAAAAGTTTAAAAATTACATGTCCTCTAATAATATATCTAATATATTATCCATTTAGCTAGTTCACAAATTAATATATAGTATTATTATTAAATATTTAGAGGCTAACAATTAATATCAAATTGCTAGTGGATGAGACAATCTATGAAATTGTTGAAACTTTATGACAAAAAGCATGTATCTATCATTATATTATATATAGCTATCATGGCAAGTTCATTGTATTTGGTCTTTGACCAAGAATGAACCATGACCCCTAAAATATGACACTCTTAAAATTAAATATATTACAATTTTGTCACAATAGAAACTAACCTAATTTATATAAGTAATTCAAAATAATTGTGAGTAGACTGTCTGGCCTAATATGTAATGACATTCATCTACATTCACTGAATCATGTCCATATATATAACTTCACATAGAATCAACAATATTTTCTAGATAAATTACTATCCAACCCCCAAGATAAGGTCAAATTACGGAAAATAACCCTACTGTTTGGGTAGTTACAAACCACCCCTTAACTATGAATCTATTTATACGTCCACCCTTGCGGTGTCAAATTTAGTGGAATATTCTAGACTCTGTGGAATATTCTCCAGTTTGCACCTGTTTTATCTCATTCGATCTCCACATTTTGAAACAAGATGATCATAACATGTGTTTCTTGGCTTGCAAATATCAGATTGTGGTGCATCAGAAATTGCTGCTTTACACAAACGAGTACAAACTAGAGAATAATCGACATAATCTAGAAGATTATGTTGAATTTGAAACCATAAGGGTGAATATGTAAAAAAAAATCATAGTTGAGGCCGGGTGCATGGTTGTAATTACCCAAACAAGATGGTTTTTTCGTAATTTAACATGCATTACCTTAGGGGTAACCGTAATTTACACGATTTTCTAATAAAATAATTATTAATTTCAACCAAATAGATTCTGCTTTCCAGCGGACATCTAATAAATTTGTTTATAACAACTCCATGTTTAATTTTTTCATAAAAGAAATTTTCTTTTGCAAGAACTTAATACGAAAATCGAACACTGTAATAATTAGAGTAGTTGAAAATCATGATTAAAGAAATTCAAGAACGCCATTTCAGTACTGTAATAATAATAATTATTTGGGTAAATTACAACCACCCCTTGAGGTATAGTTAAATTACAAACCCCCCACCCCCTGTTTGGGTAATTACAATCACCCCTCAACTATAAATCTTCTTACACGTTCATCCTTGCGGTTTCAAATTTAGTGGAATCTTCGAGATTATATGAAAGATAATCACTTTTGTACCCGTTTTATCTCATTCGAACTCCACGTTTTGAAGCAAGATGATCATAATATGTATTTTTTGGCTTGTATATATCAGATTATGGTGCATCAGAAACTGTATTTTTACAAAACGAGTACGCAAACTAGAGCACATTCCACGAAACCTAGATGATTATGTTGAATTTGACACCATAAGGGAGGAGATGTAAGAAAAAATCATAGTTGAGGGGGTTGGATGTAATTATCCAAACAAGAGGGGTTTTTTGTAAATTGGACATAGAGTAGTTGTAATTTACTCTAATTATTAATACTGACTACTGAATGAATATATGAATTCTCAGCTGGTGCTGATTTAATTTTCTGTACGTACATTTTGAAAAAGATGCATGAATGCATATTAATTTCTCGTGCAGTACATGCATGCACAAGTCTCGGTTTTAATTTTCCACCCAACAAAGTGTTTGTGTACGTAAAGTAAATAGTGTCCTTAATTTGTCCTAATTAATTAATTATATTTTTCTTATCATTATTAATTAAAATGAGAAATTACTTTTGCTATCTCAAACATTAGAGTATGATTGATGGATTTCGAGTAGGTTTAATTTTTTTATTATTTTTTAAATTCATTAGTATATGTTCAGATATTCTTAATGGAATTTCAATATTTTGAGTTACTATTTTAATTTTTTTTTTTTACATTATTTGTTTTTTCAGAAATATAATTAATGTGAATTAAAGTGATAAGGTACAAGAAAATGGCATGGGGAGTGGTACCATTTACCAACCCTAGCTACTCAAGAAAAGTAAATTTTTTCATGATTGAGAATTTAATGAGACAAAAAGATTTAGTCTTCATACATTGTGCTTACTTAGCATGTAAACAAAATGATTACGCATCTTTCTACTTATGAATTTCTATTAATCATAGAAATATAAATAATAAAATGTATTTTTTTTTATTTTTATGGAAAAAATGTCATCAATTCAATTACAAGTTACGGCTGGTAAAATGCATTAATGACAAATAAGTAGAGAGAGGGTTAACCAATTACTTAAAAGAAAATATTAGGGAAAAAGCAGTTTTCATTCCTCAAGTTTGCACCGATTTTACATTTGGTCCCCTTATATTTACAAAAAACTCATTTGGTCCCTTATT